ATTTCCACCAAGTGGGTGTTGTTTATTTTCAGAACCAGATGACTGGTTTGAACCCTCATACTCATTATTCTTGTCATGATCTTTCAAAGATACCTGCTCAAACTGGTCCTCATCCATAACTGTAGTTACAGAATCAATACCTTGTTCTTGCAAGTTTTCCCTTTCATCTATAAGTTCGGCCCCAAAAATGCTACTAGAATTTACATGTTCCCGATGAGAACTCTCAACAATTTTTTTTACACCAATATTAACTACTTCGTCAGTATCTAATTCATCCCCCAATATTTTTACCTCTTTTAGATCTTCCTTATCTTCCATGAAGTTATTTTTGAAGAAGCTAACAAATAGTCATTCAAATTATGAAAGCCCAATCCACCTGTAAGTAATAATTGGTAAAATTACAAAAACAACTTAATGAACAGTAAGTTCTGATCAAGCCATTTGAAAGAACAGACATTACATCATTCTTCAAACATGAACACCACACCATATGGAAAGAAAGCAATCAGAATGAAAATAGAAAGTATTTCCATGTATGTGTATCTATACTAAGATCCAGATTCCCTGCATTCACTCTTGACCATATTCTCACATTCAGCAATTCAGAACGGTCAACTTCAGCTCATATTTTATTTTGGTCAATCAACTTAAAACACTCATTTGAAATCTCAACCGTCTAATCTGCATCCAACAGTTAAAAATGCATTGAAGACATGATCGCATGCAAAAATGACTTGAATCCAGACGTGTGTCTATACTCTATTTACATATGCATAAAAATGAACATAAGCAAAGTGGTAAAGGTAAAGGTGATTTGATAAGTTAGACACCGTTTATTGTTCTGGTTAAGTGACAACTCATCAAGGATTCTAGTACCAAAGGTCCTGCGTAGTAACTCAAAGTAAAAAAAACAAGTTTCAGTTTGACCAAGCAAGCTTAGATTTGAGTTGAGAACAAACTTCCAATAACTAAATGAAGTGAAGTGCAAAAGTCGAAGCTCAAAAGTACTGACACTGAAACCCGTACCACCATTCAGCTAAGTTAAACATTTGTGCTCAATTCAAACCAACGAGAAGCAAAAACAAGCACCAACATCAAATTGCAAAAAGTCGTCGTTTAGCGAAAAATGCCAAAAACAAGTGTCGGATCTTGCTCGAACGGACGACTCAGACGACTCAAACAATCGAATCGACTTGCATCGTAGTGCATTGCGAATCGAGAAACAGTGGATCTCTCCGCAACCTCGAGCGCATTTGCACACGATTGGATCGAAGCTTGGAAAGTCAAAGAAAGAAAACTCACAGGATCGCAACGAAAACCGGCATTGCCACTTGAAGAAGAAAAAGAGAGCGATTATGATTTAGCATACCTTGTAGAAGATTCCTGCGCGAAGTTCCGATCTCCGGTTCCGATCCAGAATTTGACGGAAAATGTGTGAGAGATTGTAGAGAGAGAAAGTGTAGAGAGAGAGTGAATTGAAGATGGAGAAGGAGAAGGCGAATTGGGCGCGAGGGAGAAAAAGAGAAGAAGAGAATAGAAGAGAAAGGAGGAGGTTGGTTGGTGTTGCTGTGTTGGTTGTTGCAGCAGCTATGTAATTGATTATTGCTGTCTGCTATGGATTTTACCCCCTTTTCATTTCTTCACAATTACTCAATCCGGTGGTCCGGTCAAACCACCAGGGGATCATCCAACCGGTTCAATTTTCTAATTTTGTTTGCTGCAAGTTTTTAATTTTTAATAATCTTATTGGGTTAAAATAACTATTTTTATGCTTCTTGTTATATTTTTTTCTTTAGTATTCATCTTTCAATATTTTAAATCTCTCTCTTGTATTTTGATTATTAATATTCTTACATGTTCAAACTTGGATCAATCACTATTGAATTGTTTTAGTCAAAATTGAAATTTTTAGTTTAAATCATAATAAGATTATCATAATTAAAAGATATTTTTTATAAAAAAAAAAGTTGTTATTTTGGATTTTGAGTGTTTTCTAATTTTAAAATAATGGAAATCAAATACTTTTTGTACAAAAATAAAAAATAAATAAATTCAACTATTTTATTCTTACATAAATAAATTTTGTTGGTCCTTGAATTTTTGTTATCACAAAGCTAGTTGAAGTGTGATGGGTTGGAATCCAGCTTATTTTTTTTAATATTTATATTTTTATAATAAATAAATTTTAAATTTTAATTTTAATGTCAGACTAAATTATTATGTTTTTAAATTGTAAAATCCTAATTTTAAAAACACATAATCTATATTTTCATACTATATAAAGAAGATATTTCCTTTTTATGTACTATATATTTTAATAGTTTAAGTTAATTCTAAAAATAATTTAACTTTTAAAATAATAATAATAGGTATTTTATTAATTAAAATATAAAAAAAAGTGAGTTGTATATTTTTTTTTTTGTACATGAGTTGTATGGTTTTCTTTTTGTACATGAGTTGTATGGTTTAGTGTAAACTAAGTGACATGTTTTAGACTCCAAAGTGTAAACTAACACTTTTGCAGTCATAAACACAAAAGTAAAAAATTAATTAATTAATTAATTAAAATTAAAAAAAATTAAAAAAAAATTAAAAAAAGAGGTAGTTAAAGAGAGTTAAAACCTTTGTAACCCTGGATGAAACGTGTGAAAAAGATGTCAAAGAAATTAATAGAGAGGAATTCAAAGCTTTATTACACACTTTGATGTGTTGCATTTTCTACCTTCATTACATAATAACATTTTAATTCAAGTTTGCACTCAATTTTTTGCATTTTGGCTTTTATTATAAGATATTTTGAAGTTGATTTACCTGACAAAACATCACACGGCCATAAGACATCACAAGTCCATAAGTTTTACTATACTGGAACTGATTTACTTGGTAAAGTATCTCATGACCCGTGAGACTACTCCGACCACAATTGCAGATTTTCTATTTTTTAATTTATATAGGTCTTAAACCTTTGAGTTTGTAGTCTTTAAATATCTAATTTTTTATTAAATTAAATATATTTTAACTATGCTCAAATAGAGTGATTTTCTTTTTTAAAATAAAAAATATTTATATATATATATATACCTGTGTGTGAATGTGCGTGCATATGTATTTTTTTACAAAATACTAATAACATTTTTTAAAATAAACTTTGATTCATTCAAAATTTATGTGTTAATTCTCTTGAATAAACTGAAACAATTTTTAAAATAATAAAATATCAAGAATGTATTTCTTATTGATGTGTTATATCTTATTCATAATTAAGTAATTTTAATATGTAATAAAAAATATATGTTTTATTGTATATTTTGTTACTCATATTTTATACATTTGTGAATTTTGTTTTCTAACATTTAAAGTTGTACATTTTGTCAATTAATTTTTAAAATTATTTATTAATTGATTGTTTGACATTGTTAGTTAATTAATGATATTATACGTTGACTATTAATGTAATATGTTGATCGTTGATGTGATATATTAAATGTTAATGTATTGCTTTATAACACATTATCATTTGTATGTTACATCAATAATTCATGTTATGAGTTAATATGTCATATATAATTCATGTTATGAGTTAATATGTCACATGATTTATAAATTTATCATGTCAACAACTTCAACAATCTATTATGTAGTGAAAAAATGTATAAAAAAAATTAAAATTAAATAATAAAATGTACAATTTCATAAGTTAAGTAACAAAATTTGTATAAAAAAAATAAAAGAAGTAAAAGATGGATAAAAAAAATGCAATTAAAAAAATAATGTATTGAAAATAAAAAATAACATCTATATAAATTAAAGTATGGACTTATTTTGAATTTATTTCTTATAAGGTCCATAAGATAGAAATGTTTCACTTTCACTAGACGGGTAAAATAAAGAAATAAAAATAAATAAATAAATAAAAGGCGCGATTAGCTGATTCCTTTGAGAAAATACAAAAAATTTAAACTTGCTTCGTCTCTGTTCTTCTGATTCGCCTAAAGGTGATGGAACTTCTTCACTTTCATTCTTTTGTTTTCTAATTCTTTTTTATTTTTTTTTTCCTTCTATTGATTTTTGCATCATTTTAGTTATGAATTATCGAGCACCCCATCAACGTTAAATGCTTCAGAATCGAGTCTTTGATCGGAATTTTCAATCTTTATGCAATTTTCATGCACTTCTTGTTATGTATGGTGTGTATGATAGAATCAATTCGTCTGTTTCAAGATTCAATTGTGTGTATTCTTGTTGTGATCATGAATGGTTTCTGGAAAGACTTTAAAAGATGTCAAATGGTGAATCATTTTTTTCATTTCTACGTGCAAGCAAATCTTCTTTTGGTTTTGTCTTAGATTCAACTTTGTTATTTCTGTTTTCTTAAGTTATCCACTTTTTTGATGGTCACAATAATTGCTCTCTCTCTCTTGGTAACTGAGTGTGTATATGTGATTTTTTTTTTCATTTTTTTCTTCTAGTATTGACTGCTGAAACTAGAAATTAATCAACCTTATATTTCCTTTGTATATGATTCATTTTTTCAGAGTCGAGCTTGTTCTTCGAGCTTGACACAAAAGTATGAAACAGACTGAGACTCTATCTCTCTGGTTGAAATCTTGTATGTTCAAAAGTTTGTAACTTTGTTGATGCTAGCAATGTGAATTGTGAACACAACTTTTACTTCATATGATTTTCATCTAAGTTAATCAGAAACAACTCATGATTCCGGATAAATGGTTCATGCTTTTTACATATTTGTGAGGCTATGATTACGATTCTGCAACAAAATGAATCTTCTTTCCCTTCATTTCAAGGTGACATAGTATTCTAATGTGTTCCCCATTGTCTGATGAATATGCTTTCATAGTCTAAACTCCAATAGTACATTTATTAAAGATAATTATGATAGTCAGTTAGTCAAATTTTGAGCTGTGCATGCATGTGTGAATATGAGGTTGTGATGGTTGGTTTTCTAACACTGCATTAATGTGGACATAGATATTGTTGAAATCTGTGGGTGATGGATGCCTCGGCCAGTTCATCAAGTGGAAAGGAGAAAGCTGTGGTTTCTTTTCTTAGGAAGCCTCGGATTCTACTTGCTGCTTGTGGAAGTATTTCTGCGGTAAAGTTTGGAGATCTTTGTAGTCTTTTTGCAGAATGGGCAGAAGTAAATGCAGTTGTCACTAAATCATACTTGCGTTTTATTGATGGACAAACATTTCCCAAAAATACACAAGTATTCAGTGATAAACATGAAATGTTCCATTGGGGAAAGCTAGGTGATTCTGTACTTCACATTGAGCTTAATAAATGGGCTGATATCATGGTCATTGCTCCATTGTCAGCAAATACTCTCGCCAAGGTACACACGGGATTTCATTGTCATGCTTGGATTTGGTTCTTCACCATAGATAATTCTATTCGAGTTAAATAGGATCACGATATATAAAATGCAAAATAATTCTATTCGAGTCAAAGAGGATCATGACAAAATGCGTGCTTATATAGTACACACATAAATTTTTTCTTCTATTTCATACTTTAACCTGTGGAAGTGTGTTACTTGCTGTAGATAGCGGGAGGGTTGTGTGACAATCTACTGACATGCATAGTGCGAGCATGGGACTACAGAAAGCCATTTTTTGTTGCACCATCTATGAACAGTTTTATGTGGGACAACACTTTCACAGAACAGCATTGCATTACCCTTGAAGATCTTGGCGCCATTCTCATCCGACCACAAAAACCAAATATAGATGGTGAGGAAGCAGAATATGAGCATAGCTTAATGGAAGAACCTTCCAACATTTGCTCAAATGTGAGAGTTTCTTATAAACAATATTTGGAGAAAAGGGTATGTAGGGGTGAGGTTTAGCAATCTTGAACATTATGCCTTACCAGGACCATTTGTCTTGGCTCCTCTTTGATCTTTTATCAGTTGAAGAATCTAGTGTGATGATCTCATAGTTGTAATTGTACATGTTATGCTTTTCTTAATATACACACATTACATTGTATTCTAATCAATCATGGCATGGCAATAAATGTTTATGATGACATGTACAGTAGGATAACATTTGGTACTTATTTGTTCCTTTAGGTGTTATAGTTTTCTTTTGAATAAAAATGATCATTTCACACTCCTTGACTCTTGAATATGTTACCCATGTGGAGAAACAGAGACATGGAAGAGAAGAAATATTTTATGAGCATTCATGTGACAGTTTAATATCACTTCTATGTAACATTCAGGTCATAGAGACCAAAATCCCCCACCTATTCAAATGCCGTCTAGATTGGCTCACAATTTTAATGCACTGGGTTGAGCTGGTTGCAATAGTAAATGAGTTTCAATAATGTTAGAGTTTGACTTTTTGGACTAGTCATCGCTGTCGGCGGTGGATACTCCAGGACGGACCACAGATTAAGAAAAAAAAATAAAATTTAACTAAGACATAAAAAGAATATAAACAATTTTGATTTTTCTTTTGAGCTATCATTTGTTAATAAATCATTAAATTTTGTCATAATCTACCTCTATTTTTTATTTTCCACAAATATGCCTAAATATGCTTGGCGTCGTTTTCATCCGAGCACAAATTTTAATACTTGTAGTGCTTAAGGTGTTTTTAAGCATATTTCTTCGATAAAAACATTTTTAGTTTTTTTTTTTAATGAAAACGTTTTTCAAAGTTTTTTATAACCTCTTGTCTTTAACAATATATTATCTTTTTTAATTTATTGATGAAAATAATATAAGTTATTATCAATTTTTAAATTTATTTTAAAATAAGGTTAATTTGTACTTTTAATTCATTTATAATGTTTAATCTACAATTTTAATCTTTCAATTTTCAATTTCACAATTTTAGTATCTTATTTTTATAAAATTCATAATTTTAATCTTTCTTTTGTAATATTCATCTTTTGATAGTTAAAATTATATATCTAACATTAAGTAATGATATGTTAATTAAAAGTAAAAGTTATTCTAAATATTATTAAATACGTATCATTTATTTAATATTAAATAATGACCGTCGTTACAATGTTAACAATTAATACACAAATATTTTGTAAAGTAAAAAATGTGACATTCTTTACCCCACATACCATGACATGTAATTAATATGAAATTGAAATATCTTATGTGAAATAAATAAACATAAATTTCATACAAGTATAGATAATCACATTGTTAATATAAATTAAACTTAATGAAAATAACAAAATTACAAAAGAATTAAAACTAAAACTCTCAAATTTAATAACAAGAAATAAACTCCTAATCTAGTTCTAACTACATCCCGATATCACATGTTCTATCATAACAACCTCTCATGAAACCTATCTCATCACCAACATCTTTAATATCATATTGATGATTACCTATAGAAATCATATTGATGATTACCTATAGAAATCATAAGAACAACAAACAAATAAGAGAGTGAAAAATATTTCACTCTAACTCACAGTGTAGAAATATCTCTAGATAGTCAAACACAAACAAGCATATAACAAACATAACATACACCGATAAAATGTCATCAACGCACTTGGTTCATTCATAGTATAATAAATAATGACAAAAAAATATTATGGTGCATTATGCAAATGACACAGATTATATATTATCATGCATGTGGTACTAGTAAGAACATCACACTTAGACATTATTGCTAGCGATACACATAAAGTAGCCTAGAAGTGCATGTCAGATTTCACTCTCTACGCACTCTTATTAGGAGAACATATTACTTGGGTCTGGTCAGGATATATGTAAGTCATGCAAAATACATCTCATGCACACAAGGTCAAGACTAGGACTTCCCAAATCAAGTTATCCCTAAAATTGCTTCCCAAACTTTTACACAAGGGATCTTCCTTGGTAGTATATTCCATATTGTATCCCAAAAACACATTTTATGCAAATGATATACATGTCAAACAAACTTAATGTATTACGTTCACATGACCTCATGTTTCACATTTCACATTTTTCTCTTATCATAGTACTCTTCATTCAGGTTCTTATATTCATATATTGATATCAATTTACATTCATATCAATATCACAACACAATAGTTACAATATGAAAATCAATAAAAGAACAACAGAAGGTCTGTAGGTAAGACATACTAAATGTTTATTATATATAACTAAAATTTATATATATATATATATTATATCTAAAATGTGTATAAATAAATATTTTAAGCATATAAATTATATTTTAAATTTAAAATAAATAATTTATATTGCGATAATATTATTTTTAATTATTGATAATTTATTTTTAAATATTAAATTTGAATTCATAAATAAATACGATAAATAAAAAATTTGAATCAAATAAGAAGTTGAAAAAATCTTTAAAAATGCTCTTATTGAGGAATAATAGTTCATAAAAATATCTTCACATATAATATTCATTCAAGTTTAATTTAAGAGGTTGATTTATAAATTAATATGTTAATGAAAATTTGAATTAGATTAGACTCATACACTCGTCACAAGATCAATAACTTTTCCTCAAGTTGGAGTGTGTTATCGTATAGTTCAATATTGCACACATGAGAATAAAATTTAGACAATAAACTAGAGTTGATATATTGTTACAATAGACTAGAGTTGGTTGAGATTATGCGATAAATAAATCAGTAATAATATAATCATTTCATTAAAACACACAAGTGAGACTAATAAGTGTATATACTTAATTTTTGACTAATCTCCTTGCTAGGTTGGAGGCACTTCAAAGAGTGGGATAATTGGCCTCAAGATTTAACGCGACTGCATATACAAGGCAAAATTTAAACCCCTGACCTTGCTTAAGCGTGGATCAACCCTACCGCTAAACCACACACTTGAGGTTTGAAGGATTCTCACATAATAAGTCTAAATAATTAAACTAATATTCATACATTAAAATAACGTAATTTTTATTTTCATAAGTGATATTAATAATTTAAAACTTAATCTAAATATTAAACAATGCTATCTACAAAATTCCAGCATATAGTTGCAAATATTTTCAAATTTTGATTTTCCATTACCATATAACAATAAATAACTTAAATTTTGAAAACTTATTAATATAATGTTAATTAAAATATTTCTTGGTGTCTAGTTTCATAATTAAAATTTTCAAATTATTGAATTATTATAAACACATTTAAATTTGTATTTTTATCATTATTTTTAAAATATAAATTAATATATTATTTCATAATTAAATTCTTTGAACTATTCATTCTATTCTACAATTTAGTAGTTTAATTTTTTTAAATGAATAACCTTTCATAAAATAAAATAAAAATTTATTTTATCTAAAAATAATTTGCTTCTACTATTTGGTTGTGGGCTTAATTTGGGCTTATTTTTTATCTAAAAATGCCGCGAGTCTTGGGTTCCTCTGAGAAAATTCAAAAAGCTTGAACTTGCCATGTCTTTGTTATTCTTCTTCTGATTCTGAACGCTGCAAGAAAGAGAAGGAGAGATTCATCAACCATTAGAATTGTTTAGTTCATAAGGTGATGCAATTTCTTTTACACTTTTTTTTTTATTCTTTATTTTATTCTTTCATTTGGTTTAGCATCATTTGGTGATGAATTCTCGAGCACCCCATCAACATTATGAGCTTCAAAATCGAGTCTTTGGTCGGAGTTCCCAATCTATACGTAATTTTGAACCATGGGTCGTGCACTTCTTGTTGTTTGTGGTGTGTATGGTAGAATAAATTCGTCGTTATCTTATTTAGTTCTGCCTCTTGTTGCGATCATGAATGGTGAATCACGCTTTCATTTCTGTGTTCAAGCAAATATTTGTTTTGTCTTGGATTCAACTCAAGTTTATTATAATTTTGTTTGGAAGAACTTCTTTTCTAAAAGAAAAATTAAAAAAGAAAAAAAATCTAAAAATTAAAATTAACTTATAGATAAGTAAAATATAAAAATTTAATATTTTAAGGTTTTGAATTAAAATATAAGATCAAATTCATTTGTGATTTGTTTTTTCTCGATATGGGGATATCCAGTGTTTAATTCCTCTCTCGTGCCTAACAGTCCCTATGTGTGGTGAATGTTTTCTTGTCATGTTTACATCTTGTATATGGATCAATTTTGTGTACATGAAAACTAAATCAAGAGAGACTCATCGAATAATTAATAGTGTTAGAAAGAGGGTGTCAGTAATACTCTGGTGTTTACTATGTAGTTGGAAATTGTCAATTTCTACTTTTCTTAATTTACCTTTTGGACATATGATGTTGTAGATTGCTGGAGGGTTTTGTGAAAGTCTATTGACATTTATTGTGCGAGCATGGAACTACAGCAAGCCAATTTTTGTTGCACCATCCATGCACCCTTTTTTGTGGAAAAATCCTTTCAAAGAACGCCATTGCCTGCGCATTAAAAAGCTTGGCATTTTTATCATCCAATTTCACAGAGATCAGCTAGAGGGGAATATGAGAAGGGCGAAATGGCTGATCCTGCACTACTATGACTCGAAGAGTCAGAACAAGAATGTTGGTGGGGTTTAGCCAAGTTGATAATTATGGGGTATGGATGGTTTGCCAGAAATGTCTTGGCACCTTTATCTGTTACTTACTTTTATGTAGTTGTAAATGCAGATGTTAAACCTCATTATTATGTACATGCAAAGGATTGTGTTCACCTAGCATCATTAGGTACCAAATTGTAGATTTCAAAAATAATAAACAATGTTTGCAGAATTGCAGTTATGAATCAGAAATTGCTGAATGGCAGATGATTATGGAAAGCTAGATTCGGATATCATATTATTTTTTTTAATAGTAGATTGTGAACTAGTGTGATGAGTAAAATATTTGGGTGTAATTTTAATTTGTATATATTTTTGGATTTCACAAACTAATTATTTATTATATATATCTAAAATTTATAATAAATTATATATAAATAAATATTATATTTAAATATATAAAATATATTTAAAATTACATAAATATATATTATTTGATAAATAATTTATATTGTAACATAATATTATTTTT